GATATTGGGATATTTTAATGGATCAATATTTTTTCCCTCGTCTTTAGAAGTTTTTAAGTCTGTAAAAAAGAAGTTTTTGAGGAAGAAGAAGTAGTATTTATTTTCTTTTTTCTTTTAGACTTTAGAAACTCAGAAGCTGATCAAATATCGGGTTAAATATTGGTGGTCCGATATTGCTTTAAGGCCGATACCAATAGGGGGCCGATTATATCGTGCATCCCTAGTAAGCATTGGTGACTTTGTGGCGATTTTCTCATCGTGGAACATTTATATTATGAATATGCTGTATTGCTTTGATCTGTGAACCCTTAAAGACAAATGGAGCATAAACTATTGAAGACTGGATTGATAATACGGCTTCTGGACGCCTTCAAAGCTACGATGTCCCAGCTCCTATGATTTCCCATGCTGCTATATCTGTTAATTGTGCTAATTGTGTCCATAACATGAAGTTGGTGGCTGAGTTGTGGAGCCTTCAAACGATGTCTAACCTTTCTATATTAGTAAAAGTTTAAGCGCTGTTATTTTAAAGCGTACTGCTGTGTTTAATGTAAAAACACACAAAGTGCCGGCGATCAGGTGGAAGTAATGAGGTTTTAAGCTGCAGTTTCTATGCTTAGAGGGCAGCTCTGGTCTGCAGGGATTAATCTAAACCCATCTGTGTCAGGATTGTTAAAGTGGAGTGTAATTAGAAAACAGAACAACAATTGGATCCTTCATAAAACACCTTTCCTGGTTCGTTTAGATTAGGGGTCTGCAACCTTTCATATCCAAAGAGCCGTCCCCCACCCCCCCCGCAAAATACAACCTGACTTTTTCAATATAACAACCTTTTTTTTTTTTTATCTTGTATAGAAAATATGTTGCCATCTTAAACAATCAACAAAATCCAGTTTTTCTTTTTTTTAGCTTCTAATATATTAAAACATAATTTCCAAGCTAATTCAAGGAAAAATGTCTCTTAAAACATATTTCTGGTTCTTTTAATCTCATTCTTTCCATCTTATAAAAAAACACTAAAGCTATTAAAACTGGTAGTTAAAACTCATAGTACATTATTTTGCTCTTTATATACATTTTAGCCACTATTAAGAACCGCTGTAGAGGTTTATTATGACGCATAGCCTCTGCAACCGTCGTCGCGCACCTCAAAAAAATCCTGACTGCGCATGGACGGTCGCAAACCTTAAGCGGAAGTATGCAGACAAAAAACAGCTGTGATCGTTCAGATGTCTGTTTGGTCGTCCCTCTCGATTCGGTGCCGGGGTGCGCCATTTTTAAAAACTGAGGAACACCTACAATGGACGACGACTACGACGAAAAGTTTATCGAGGAGGTTCGCTCAATTAACAGAACCTGTATGATGTCTAGCAGCTCTAGATCCATCTCCATGACATCTTCCAGACGTGTCATTGTTGTTTTGGATGATAAACACTCCCGCCGGCACTGCCAAAGTTCTCGTGACCATCTGCCGAAGTTTTCGCGAGTTCTCGAATAGCCTTCTGCTTGCGCTTTGGCAGGAAACTGCTGTGCGTCCCTACAAATTCCAGACCGACAGTGCAGAAGCATAACAGCAAAACTGGTTGGGGACAAGACCCAAGCGACATTTGATGTGTGCGGTTGCAAAAGTCTAATCTGCCCTTAAAGGAATAGTACACCCAAAACATGATTAGCCTTCATTTTCTACTCACCCCCATGCTGAACAACACTCTGGAGTA